GAGAGAGAGAGAGAGAGAGAGAGAGAGAGAGAGAGAGAGAGAGAGAGAGAGAGAGAGGATTTATTAGAGTGGATTACAGGTTATGGTCTCTAGGCTGACTATTTCAACAATGCCTGTCTTCTGACAGAAAGTCCAAGAGTTCAACATTTGTTCAGTCCATGAGGTTGGATATCTCAGCTGGTCTTTAGTATACACTGGCATCCCAAAGAAGTAGGCTCTGATACCCGTGAAGGAGTGGACTTGCCAAGCAGAGTGAGAGCAAGCAGGCCAAGGGCAAGAGCTTTCTTCTTCCATATCTTTTTTAGAGAGTGCCACCAGAAGGTGTGGCCCAGATTGGAGGTAGATCTCCCCATCTCAAAAGATCTGGATTTAGAGTGGGTCTTTCCACCTTAAATGTGTCAATCAAGAAAAATCCCCGACAGTAGTGCCCAGCCGCTTGGCTTAATTCCAACAGCCTTCACAAGAAGAAGGCTGTCTCCCACAACTGGGTCCTGCCATCTGGGTGTCTAGCTCCCTCTCAGCCACCCTTACAGCCCATGACTGGGGCTCAGGAGAGGTGACTGCTGTACCTGGTCCCTTTCATGCCCACACTGAAGGCTCTGGTCTCCTCACTCAGCATAAAAGCCCAGAGGAAGAAAGTAGAGAGGCCAGCAACACAGGTGGACTACGCGGAAACTGCCATGGATTAGTCTCTCGGGTGAGTGATATGGAAGCCGCCCAGCATTGGTGTCCCTTGGGACTCTTTCTTGTGATGGACCCAGTATGGCCTGGCTTCGCATGGCCACTGGTGACCCACTACCCTCCCCCATGGTGCTCCTGGATTAGCAGCTCCATCTCTTTCTAGAACTAGCTGGGAATCTGTGAATCTCTGCTGTCGCCTCTCTGTACCCCTCACTCCATGTCCCATACTAACCCTGTTATCCACCCAATCTTGATCATTCTTGAACTTTATCTTCCCTGGCTGCCGACTCTTTCTCACCTCCTGCCTCTCTAGCAGGGCCCCAGAACTTAGTATACCTGACTCCATAATGGGACTACCATTCAGGCCACAAAACTCAGCACATAGTCAGCACCACCTACTAAAATTAACACAAAAATCTAATCCATCAAAGTCCATAGTTCTGCTAATGTTGTCTTTTGGCCTCTGTAATTCTGCTCTGGTTAACTGTTCTTGTTAACAAAGTATGTCAACCAAGAACAGTGTTTGAGGGCTTAAAAGCTCACACTGAGAATGTCTTGGTGCTGCACTGGGACCCTGAACACCCAGTGTAGTCTCTGGTCAACTAATATAGATTTTTCTCTTAGCTTAAACCAAGTAGTCTGCTCTGGAAGGTACCCCCACAACATTTCTGGAAGTTCTACTAAGATCCCCAGAGATACTGGAGGTCTCAGAGTCCCCTCGAAATGAGAAAGAGAGTGGTGGCCAAAGAGCTCCTAGGGGGTACATAACCTGAGTTCCAGGTCCGCAAGACTTTCTTGGATCAGTTACCGCCTAACACTTCAGAGAAGCTGGACACCTCCTCTCCAAAATGAAACCAATGAGAAAGTCACCAGCAGAGTTAAGTCTGCCTAAGGGGCCTTCTGTTTGGACACAGGAGAGATCAGACATGGCTGCTGATCCAGTGTCCGGGAACCACGTGAGATGTCAGTGGATTCCCACCATCTGTTTGGGTGTATGAATGTGTCGGGGTCACCCCTGGTTGTCCTCTCTCTCTCTCTCTCTCTCTCTCTCTCTCTCTCTCTCTCTCTCTTTCTCTCTCTCTCCCTCTCTCCCTCCCTCCTTCCCTCCCTTCCTCTCTCCCCCTCCTCTCTCTCCCCCTTCCCCCTTCCCCTCTTGTTTTTGTTCTTCTTGTTCTTCTACTTCTCTCTCTCTCTCCTTCCCTCCTTTCCTACCTCCCCCTCCTCTCTCTCTCCCTTCCCCTCCTTCCTTCCCTTCCCCTCTTCTTGTTTTTGTTCTTCTACTTCTTT